CTAGAGACTGGAAAGACGCCATAATAAGTCCGGTGTACAAGGCTGGGAGGAGGGATTTAGTTAGTAACTATAGACCCGTTAGCTTAACTAGTGCAGTTGTAAAACTGAAGGATATCTGTTATAAACTATGTTTAAGGGCATAATCTTTTCTCCAGGGCACAACATGGTTTTCGAAAAGGCGTATCTTGCTTGACAAATCTTCTCATTGCACGAGAAGATTGGGCTGGGGCAAAGGATCGGAATGCCCCTGTCGATGTGATTTTCATAGATCTAAGTTAGGCCTTCGATAAGGTTTCCCACTCTGTTCTTAAATTCAAACTGGGACGTTGTGGAATCCATTATATAGTCGTTGATTGGATAAGTAACTTTCTCCATGACAGAAGACAAAGGGGAAGGGTTAATGGGGCTCTCTCCTCGTGGGTACCTGTAAAAAGTGGGGTTCCCCAAGGTACAATCCTAGGTCCTCTTCTCGTTTTACTTTATGTAGATGAATTGCCGACTGTAGCAAAATCATCCGTTCTACTCTTCGCTGATGACATAAGGATTTGGAGACCCATACATAGTATGTCGGATAGAATAGTATTGAAGGACGATCTTAACTCATTGGTTAGACAGGCGGTCAATAAAAGTAAATCCTAATAAGTTTGTAGTGATGCTGTTAAATAACTCAGATGAATCGTATGAATATATACTAGGTGAATTCGTGCTACCCAAAGCAAGAAACTATACAGATTTAGGAGTCATATTAAGCAGTGATCTCGAGACCACTAGTCACTGTAAGGCTGCTGCTGCAAAAGGCTATAGGGTATCATGGTATATTCGTAGGAATTTCCAGTATTTAGATGATGAAATGTTTAGATTACTATACCCGATTTATGTGCGACCACATTTAGAATACGGGATTCAAGCAGCATGTCCTTGTTTCAAGTATGAAGCAGAGATGCTGGAAAGAGTCCTACAATGAGGTACTAAAATGGTACAAGGTCTATCTAGCCTATCTTATGAAGACAGACTGAGACACCTTAACTTATTTCCGTTATCTTACCGTAGAATACGGGGTGATCTAATATTGGCTTATCGTATACTGAACGATGACCTTTGTGTTAACATGTCTTATCTTTTACTTCCGTCTGAGACTGGTCATTTGAGAGGACATCCGAAGAATGTTCAAAAACCGAGATCAAATCGTTTACGTCTGGAGTTCTGTTTCTCGCACCGGGTAGTGAATTACTGGAATTCTCTACCGGAACACGTAATATCAGCACCGTCTTTTAATATATTCAAAACGAGATTGTACCTCCACAATATTACAAACTGCAAGGATTAATATAGGTCGATAGACCTCCTATCCTTATTACTGAAGACTGAAAGCAGTCACTGAACTTAAATAGAGCAAGAACAAACATTGATGCAGAATAGTATGAATTCATATTATTTCGAGGTTTCTCGTCAGCTGCTTACAAACCAATATTGTGATAGAATTTTTTACATGGAGATAGTGTGAAACAATTGACATAAATGAGTGTAAATAACTGAATTACAATAAGAACTATATATATATATGCTAGAAACAGGTCATAGGTCAAAAAAGGGTTAATTCAGATTGGGTGGTATAATAGTTTAGTGAAGTTCATAAATTGTGTGATAATTACCCTATCATTATTCAATTCCTAGTATAGGCCATAACTGTTGATTGAAGCTTTTAGACATAGAAAGTCCATCTACATTGAGATATAAATTTAAAGAGTCAAAATCAATAGTACACAACCAAAGCTCAACATATCTAAGCAGATTGGCTTTCAATCCTAGATGGTAGTAAACCCCACTGCCGATAAACTTTGGTTGAACACTTGGACACGTCTTTAGGACACCTCTGATGCTTTTCGGTATGTCCGGGATAAGAACTCGTAGACCATACAAAACTCGATCAGCATCTCTTATGCTCAGAGATGTATTTGACATTAGATACATCATAAAGTCGTTCATCAGTTCTTTGCGATTTACGAACTTATGAGAGCACAAGTTCACTTCAGGAGATCCTATAAGATATATATTCACGTATGAATTTAATATACATACCACTAGTATCTTGAAGCCTTTGATTGATGTTGCTAGTGGATGGTGTAACAGTTGAAGTACTGTCATTACAACTGATTTCCGTCTTTACTTCTATCAATTTAATAAACATCACTGTTGAACTCAGTTACCTTTTTGAGTGCTTTCATCAGCAAACTCACTGAACGAAAAGAAGTCATATTTTTTCATGAAAGCAGCTCTCATTTTATTCTACCTTCTATTGTAAGTTGTTCTGTGACAACCAAGGGAACGTGACAAGTTCACAGTGGCCCTACGTCTACGAACATTCCCACTGACTTCAACAAAACTCATATTATTGGCCTAACAAGGTAATTAGTCACAATGAACATGAAATTCTGAGAGCACGTCACTCACCTGCATCACGTAAGTTTTTTGTGATGGCTCTCAAGCATGTAGGAACACTCGCTAAACAAATAACGAAGTCAGAGTATATGCGTCTCAACCGAATGCCTGGTTCCGTAATTTGTACCTTGTATTTATGGCATTTGTTTTTTAATTAAGTGGTGCCTTAATTTGTCGAAGTTTATGAAAACCTCAGTTGTGGATGCGGTTCATTCAAATACTGTACGTTACGTATAATTGTCGACAAATTTCCCCCAAATACACGACGTAAGGGGGAAAAAGCGACATTTCCCCTAAATAACCGACGCAAAGGCGAAAAAGCGACATTTCCCCTTTATTTACGCTTTCGTTCGCTTTATTTCCCCTTTTTGTGTTGCTTGGGAATAATAATAATTTATTCTCAAAAAGCAGCCTCAATCCTGGCAACGCCGCTTAGTGTGATGTTTTCACACTCGCTAAGCCGAGGCAAATTGCCGGAAAATTGGAAGTTGGCTCACATCACACCAATTTTCAAAGGAGGTCGACGCAATGAACCTTCAAGTTATCGGCCGGTGGCTCTTTTGTCATTACCTTCAAAACTCATTGAGTCCCTGATATGCGACGGCTTAAACGACTATCTACTGTCCTTAAATTTCTTCTCACCCCAACAGCATGGTTTCAAGCATCCTCGATCGCAAGGGAAAGGTTGATATCATTTACCTTGATTTCTCAAAAGCCTTTGATAAGGTTAACCACTTGTGTCTTACCAATAAGCTCAAACGACTAGGTATCAAACCACCTCTAATCGATTGGCTTACTTCATAACTAAAAAATCAACACTTTAAGGTTAGGGTTAATTTCACTTTATCTCAGGCTGTGGAGTGTCCTAGTGGGGTCCCACAGGGCTCAGTACTAGGGCCTCTTCTCTTCTTGATCTACATAAATGATCTTCCTCAACAGGTAACGTCAGACTTATTACTTTTTGCCGACGACGTGAAACTTTGAAGAGAGATACGCAACCAAGACGATATACAGGCACTTCAGGAGGATCTGACTCGAATTCAAAGTTGGGCAAACGATAACGGACTTACCTTTAACACTTCAAAGTGTAAAGTAGTCCATCTGCGACATGTCGCAAACTACAGTTACAACTTAGGAAACTCCTCTCTAGTAGTACTCCAAGTCGAAAAAGATTTAGGAGTCCTGGTGCCCCATGACTTAAAGTCTTACGCTAACTGTGACAAAAATGCCTTCCGAGCAAACCTTGCACTGGTAACGTTGAGGCGCATTTTTGGACGAACTTTCCATACAATATTCAATAGTTTCATCCGTTCCCATTTAGAGTACGGAAACATAGTACTCCCTCCCTCACTCCAAAAGGACAAGGTCACCTTGGAGCGTATCCAACGTCGAGCCACGAAATCAGTTCGAGGACTCAAATCTAAACCTTACGAAGAACGCCTCCATTCATTATACGTTTACCCATTAGAGTATAGGCGTCTTAGAGGTGATTTATTAATGGCTTATAGTATTCTTAACACTTCTGGACATCCTCTTAAACACCTACTTAAGCTTAGTTCGAACAATAACCCAAGGGGTAACACCCAGAAACTGGAAACACAACATAGCAAGACGGAATGTAGACACAACTTCTACTCCTTAAGAGTTGTCAAAATCTGGAATTCGCTGCCAGCCGAGCTAGTCCAAGCGACTTCTCAGGAGTCCTTCAAGAGGCAACTTGACCTATTCTTAAGGACCAAGGACAGCATCACACTATGATTTACCAATTTCTTTTCCTCTTTTATTGTTAACATACCTAGGTTCCTGCCTGGAGGATTTGGTGATCCCCTGCTACTAGACACGGAAGCCTGTTAAGCGAAAGCTTCTTCTATTCCGTCCACAACCATTTGAACCATTTGAACAGTTTGTTACATGAGGCATGCCAGTTTACAGGCAAGATCAAAGTTTTACAAATGATAGAATATCCACTGTAGTAAATTACTCAGCTGGGTTGATAATTTAAAAGATATGAATGTAGATATCTACATTCATATGGTTTTAGTCAGTTTACTTGGTAAGTCCTTGGTGGACTCTCAGACCAATCCGCCAAAGTCTCATAGTAAAGCTTCGTCTGACATTGTTGTTAGTCATTCGCTTGACTCCCAGGACTCTGTTAAAATAAAAACTAATCGTAAGCTACCAGTAGTTAAAATACAGGATCTAACGTCACGGTCGAAAGCTGTGAACACAGTTTCAAAAGAAGCTAAACCCATCCCTAGTTTAATTATTTGGAATCTAGAGGAGTCGAAAGACAACGACCCTGCTAAAAGACACGCACATGACCTGCAGTTAGTGGAGTCTGTGGTGAGGAATGTACTACCTGAAGAGGTTTCAGGGGTACATGTTACAAAAGTAATACGACTTGGTAAATGGGTTGGAGGCGAGACCCAACCAAGAAGGATCCTGAAGCTGGTTCTCGGGAGTTTCGAAGAAAGAGACATATTATTGAAAAGCGCACTAAAAACTCGTGCCTCAAATATCCGTATTCGACCAGATTGGCCGTTTGAGGATCGAATCAAGTGGAAGAATTCTCTTACGGAGTTGAGGACTCGCAAATTAAATGGCGAAAATAACCTTACCATTAAGGGTTTTCGGGTAGTCAGGTCTTGGAAGCCAATGCTTCCGAGGCCTGTATGGGTAGAACGATTGATCTCCAAAACACCTTAAGTGTGTGCTACACGAACGCTCGTAGTCTTAGAAATAAAACGTCCGAGCTAAGTCTGATGGTGCAAGAATTATGTCCCTATATAATCGTTGTTACAGAAACTTGGTTCACCGTTGATATAGACTGTTCTCCTTTCATTGCTGATTATATCTGTATCAGAAGTGATAGAGTTTCAAGTCGCAAGGGGGGAGGTATAATATTTTACGTTAGGGATCACTTTCGCATACAATCAACCATATCGGAGGCTCATATCAGCGGCACATGTGAGGTTGCATGTTGTAAGATTAAATCTAGAAATGGGTTAGTGACTATAGGGGGAATATACCGTAGTCCGTTTTGTCTGGCTGACGACTTTATCCTAAGACACATCTGTTCTTGGAGTATGGCAGAATGTTGTCTCATCATTGGGGACTTCAACGCACCGCATATCAACTGGATAGAGCTTACAGCTCCAGGTAGTGGTTTCGATAGCGACCTTTTATCTACCGTTATTCAGTGTGCACTTGTACAATGTATCACAAAACCGACACATATTGATTTGCAACATGTTCCGTCACTGATGGACCTCGCCCTCACCCACCACTCTGAGGATGTCTTTGATATCCAGCACCTTCCTCCACTAGTGAACAGTGATCACGTTGTAATTCACTTTAAGTTTAGGACGCATGGTATACAATTCGTATCTGCTCCACCCCGTCCCAATATCTGGCGAGCTAATATTCCGGAAATCAGAAACCGTGCTATCTTGACCGATTGGTTGGTCGACGCGGATGGATTGATCGAAGATGAATGGAATAAGTTTAAGGCTACATTCGAGTCCGTAACGTCGCCGTTTATCCCATGGTCAGCACGTAAGCTATCACATTGCCCTCCATGGATTAATAAGGAAACCCGGAAGCTGTTAAAGCGTAGGAAACATTTCTGGGACTTATTCTTGTTGACAGGTCATGCACCATTTAAGCGTGAGTATCAAAAATACCGTAATATCTGTAAGAAAACCATAGTGAAATCCCGTACCACTTACGAACGACAGTTAGTATATGATAGCCGTACTTGTCCGAAACGATTGTTTTCGTATGTTAAACGGCAAATGAAACGTAGTGATGGTATTCCCCCGTTGCTGTTACACGAAAATTCAGAATTACTAGCTGAATCAGATCGAGCAAAAGCTGAGACTTTTTCAGATTATTTTAGCGAAGTCTTCTCTACGTTTATTGTAACAAATACTTGTCCCACTCACACCGAGATACCAACCATTGAATCTGTACAGGTGACTGAGGAAACTATCCTTCCGTTGATAACTAACCTCAAACCTGGTAAGATACCGGGCCCTGACGGGTTACATCCACGGTTGCTGTCATCTCTTGCGGACATTATTTCAAAACCGCTCGCGACGCTATTCAACATATCCCTTTCACTCGCTCAACTCCCTAGAGATTGAAAGGACGCTATAGCCAGTCTTATATTTAAGGACGGTCAGAGGCAGATAGTATCTAACTACCGGCCTGTCAGTCTAACTAGCATAGTCGTTAAGTTACTCGAAAAGATAATTCGGGTTAGGTTGCTAAGCCACATAGATTCACACAATCTGTTAGCTCCTGAGCAACACGGATTTCGTAACAAGCGTTCTTGCTTGACTAACTTGCTTATTGCGAGGGAGGATTGGACAGCAGCCCTAGATCACGGTCTGTCTGTCGACGTGATATTCATAGATTTTAGCAAAGCGTTTGACAAGGTTTCACACGTAGGTCTTATGCAGAAGCTCACGAGCTTCGGAATAATAGGTACTGTACATGAGTGGATAGGAAATTTCTTATGTGACCGCAGACAGAGAGTTAGGGTCAATGGAACGCTATCCGATTGGAAGCCGGTCAAAAGTGGTGTACCCCAAGGCACCATCTAAGGCCCTCTGCTCTTCCTTCTCTACGTTAATGAGTTACCACTGTTACTTAGGTCGTCGACATTATTGTTTGCAGATGATGTAAAAATCTGGAGAACAATAAAAAGTGCGGCTGATCATGTGGATCTTCAAGCTGACTTAGACGATTTAGTTAGATGGGCTCGAGAGTGGGGCTTAGAAATCAATGCTAGGAAGAGTGTACTAATGCACGTCGGTCACGGTAATAGTTACCGTTACACTATTGAGGGTAAACCTCTTCCATGCGTTCAAGAGCATAAAGACTTAGGAGTAGTATTAAGTCATGATTTAAAAACAACTACGCATTGCAAACCAGCCGCTGTCAAAGGTTTTCGAGCGTTATGGTCACTTCGCCGAGCGTTCAAATCTTTTGACGAGGAAACGTTTCGAATTTTATATCCCATATATGTTAGACCACATTTAGAGTACTGTATCCAAGCAGCTAGCCCGTGTCTGGTAAAGGATACTAACTCCCTTGAGCGTGTCCAGCGTGTGGGAACGAAATTAGTGAAGGGTCTTTCTAGACTCCCTTACGATGAGCGCTTAAAACGCCTAAATCTTTTCCCCTTGTCGTATCGTAGGACACGAGGTGACCTTATACTGGCATTTCGTATCTTTAATTATGATTTGGGTGTTAATATGTCTTATCTTTTTGCTCCCTCCAGCACTAATAATCTCCGAGGTCATAGCAAGAAGGTTCATAAACCACGATCTAATAAACTTAAAGTGGGATCCCGTTTTTCTCATCGAGTAGTCAATCATTGGAACGCCTTACCCGAACAAGTGGTATCAGCCCCATCAGTGAATACTTTCAAGGAAAGGCTGGACCTTCACTGGAAAGCAATGTGTCAGGATTAACACAGGTTCATCAACCTACTATCCTTATTACTGAAGACTGAAGTATCACCGTTGGCGCGCTTCATGAAAGTCGCGTTGCGAATGTGCGACTGATGGTCAAGGATAGGTCCATTGAAGATATGAGCTTCTAGAAATCGCAACCTTACGTCCCTTTGGAATATCCAAGGCTTTAAGGATGGTGCAGGATGAATTCACCCGTTTCATGTCTCAAGGGGGCTGAAAGAGGAAGCAGGTAAAAGAAAAGACGAGAGGCAGAGTAGCCAATATTCATGAAGGAATGTTTAAGGTATGATTACTCAGTCTAATTTTCTTTTATTGAGGTATTTGTTAAGCAAGAGCATTTTAATAGGTTAAAGAAAATAAGTGTAAACAAGGTATGAGTGGACATACAACTTGTGGAGATAGGCCTGACAACCTTATTTTGTAAATGGTTTTCAATGTTATTTGTATTTATTTTGTCAATTTCTCACCGCATGTACATTTATCATTAAATGATTGTACCTGTTGTTTTAGTAAATGACCTTGAACACTTTTTCCGTTGTGATACTAACATAGCGTGACACACTTTTGGTTGTTCGCAAATACACTGCTACACACACACGCTCCTTGTTCTATTCTCACGCGTTATCGAGCTAATCGCATTCTAAATCGAGTATTATCCACATTTTAGACTGCTGTGCCATTTCTATTACATACTACGTCAAAGGAACTTACTGGAGTCATATTTACCTCATTGGAGTTATTACTCATAAATAATTGTGGATTTTTGGGACCAAAACTCAACGGAATACGCAACAACTAGCTGATTTAAGTAACGTCCCTGAACTTTTATTTTGTGTTACTAATTTATAAATTGTTATTGTTACGTTAACTTTTGGATGTAATAACTTTATCGCTACTTTTTGGTTATTATACTTTTGGTCCGCCACAATTATTTGGTGAGCCCGACGTGATTCGAACACGCAGCCTTCCGTAATAGGGCGTGGGTTCGAATCCCACCTCCACCACCAAAATAATTGTGGTCGACCAAAAGTATAATAACCAAAAAGTAGCGATAAAGTTATTACATCCAAAAGTTAACGTAACAATAACAATTTATAAATTAGTAACACAAAATAAAAGTTCAGGGACGTTACTTAAATCAGCTAGTTGTTGCGTATTCCGTTGAGTTTTGGTCCCAAAAATCCACAATTATTTATGAGTAATAACTCCAATGAGGTAAATATGACTCCAGTAAGTTCCTTTGACGTAGTATGTAATAGAAATGGCACAGCAGTCTAAAATGTGGATAATACTCGATTTAGAATGCGATTAGCTCGATAACGCGTGAGAATAGAACAAGGAGCGTGTGTGTGTAGCAGTGTATTTGCGAACAACCAAAAGTGTGTCACGCTATGTTAGTATCACAACGGAAAAAGTGTTCAAGGTCATTTACTAAAACAACAGGTACAATCATTTAATGATAAATGTACATGCGGTGAGAAACTGACAAAATAAATACAAATAACATTGAAAACCATTTACAAACTAAGGTTGTCAGGCCTATCTCCACAAACTGACAAATGGAGGGGATTCAGAGAGGAGCTGAAAGTATGAGATTATGTGTGGTCATAAAATATAGTGCTAAAAACAGTTATTGTGATATACAATTGACTGTCTTCCTTTTTTATCGATGCTGTTGGAGCTCTTTTCACCTTTTTTTGTGTTATTATTTTTTCAATTTTTAGTTTATTATTTTAAGTTTTAGGTATCATAGGATCTTGAGTAGACTTCGTATATTATCGAGTTGTCTAGTTTGCTTGTAATAGGATTACTAGGTAGGAAGTGAAACCAATTCAACGTTCATAACACGATTTAATGAGGTATTTTGCATGATAAATCAGCATTAATACCTTAAGTTCGTAACATGCCAGTAGACCATAAGGAGCCGTAATTAAACAAAATGTTCTGCCCTACAAACATGGGTGGATTGAAGTTATCTCCCCACCATCATGTTTACTGGTCAGTAACGCCACCCTCCCTCCTTATATTGTCTTAATCAGGAGCCAGCTTTAACACTGGGAAGTTGCTGAAGAATATCAGCGACTAACGAACCACGAAAACGACATTAAACTAGTTCAGTTCGTTGGTCAAGACAGATTCAACGTCCAAGTAATCCAAAGTAAAGTGCGTCCTGGTTCCAAGACCTCAACATCACTGCACAAAAAATCACCGAAATAAAAGTCTGAAGTGCCTCCGTCCAGATGTTGGCATTGTGGTGGTTGGTATTTTGCAAGGTTCCGTCCGTTTAAACACCATTACTGAAGGTAATCTTACACTGTTGGACATAGAGAGACTTATTGCAAGCAGCGAAATAACCACCGGGAGTGAAATTTCCGAAGAAGGTACAGATCAAATATAAAGCCATTTAAATCATTTACTGTATCTTCGGTAAATCAAGTACATGAAAGACCGGTTGGGAAGTTTACTGAAGTTCTGACAAATGGCTATTTGATAAAATTAAAATTGGATAACGCTTAAGGCACGACCATCCTCTCCAGAAGAACGTAGGCCAAAAGAAGAAAGCTCAGTCTGCAGCCTACAAGCCAGTCTGTAGTGAGCGCAACAGGTGATAAAATGAAGCTTATTGGAGTTCTGTCATGCTCAGTAACACTTAAAGATGTGACTATAAGTGTAATATGTTACATATCAGACGATAACCTAGATTTATTCGGTTTAGACTCGTTTTTTACGGATTCAAGATTCCAGATATCCCATTGCGAAACGTAGGTAATAGAATTGTAAGTAAAGATAAGGAGCAGTGGTATCTCACAAACACTTTGCAGAAGGTTTAGAGCATTGCACAGCAACGAATGTATATCTCTACTTGAAGAAAGTGTTAATCCAGTGTTTCCGCCGCAAAGACCAGTTCCATATGCATCATTACCAGGTTTACACGAAGAACTCCAACGTCTAGAAAAACATGGTGTATTATTTATTTATTTGAACACATGAATATTGGTACAAGAGAGCGCCAATATATATGCGCCACACAAAACAATGAGAATTCGAAGAGAAATAGAAAAAAAAGCTAAGGAGCGCAAAAAAAGAGAACAATGACGAGGAGATTGGTGTAAGGTAGTATGGTAGAAATGAGGGAACGGAAAGGTACAAATAGAAGAAATCTTTCAGGTATGGTGTTCTATCATCAGTTTCATTCTCATCTTCAGCAACTTTCCTAGTGGTCATAAAGAAACTAAATGGTACACTATGGATCTGTGCAGACTCCTTAACTGGATTAAATGCTGTGCTAGAACAATATCATTATATTTTGCCCACTGCAGATGATCTTCTTACGATCTTAAGTGGTGAAAACTGCTTTGAAAAACTAGATCTACCCGAAGCCTATCTATAAGTAGAGGTAAACTCTTCATGACGTAAACTAATGATAATAGGCATACATCGAGTTTAATCGACTTCCTTCGGGAGTAAAGAAAGCACCGCTATATGAAGCTTCGGTGACATTCTGGAGAAGTAACATTAAAATCCCAAAACTTCTCTAGGTCTAGGGAAAATCCTCAATATTTTTCCAGAATCTTATGACACATTGACTTTTTTCTGGGAAATGTTCTCAAACTTTGTGGAAAGCTATCATATTTTTCTTACGAGTCTGAAAATAACCCCAAAATACGGAGGTTGGAAGTAAGTTGATAAAGGATGTAGGAGAATTACCAAAGGCAATCTATCCTAATTGGAGAGGTTACGTAAAGATCGTTCAAATCCAATGGTTACTGCCTAAGTTCTGAAAATAATTGATTTGTAAAATAAATCGAAACAAGTCCATGATACATACACACACACAAGGACCCATACAGTGGTAATAATTCAGATATTGATTTTCTTTTGAATCATATGATATTGAATTTAACCAATGAATATGAATTCTATATTAAACGAATAACCCTGGAACATATTGAACAGTACACATGATAAATTACAATGTATCATATCGAGTTAATGGAATATTAAACAACGAACATAAAACACGTACTGATAAACAAATGTAATGACATTTCTTATTGATCCATTGTTGAAGTTATCAAATGTGACTTTCCATAATTCATGTCTGTTTTTCTGTATTGAGTATTTAAGTGATGACATGATTGACAACATCATATACACAAAAATATTATCCAGAAGAAAATGGTACGTGAATCATTGTTGATTATTCAATTCATTATGAACTATTTGAAGGTTTCAACAGTTGAGATCATGATTCAATCAAAGCTAGATCACTACGAAAAAACCGGAAACACTGAACGGTCGTTTCATTCTAATGTGAGACTCCTTAGCAGTAAGCATTCACGATCCTGCCTCGTGAGATTCGAACTCAAGACCCGTCGGTCTTGAACGCAAGCGCTTAATTTTTAGACCACTGAGCTGGCATCCAATGGTGTTAATGTCAAACTTCAACTAATCCACGAAACTGAGCAACACACACACATGATCTCAACTATTGAAATTACTATAATATCCACAAAAACCCTTTCTGATATTGATTATTGTTTGTTCATATTTAATATTATTCATTTGCATTATTGATGTTAAGAAAGATTCATGACCAATCCACTCAGTTTTGAAAACGAAAATCCACCGAACTATCTACTGAACATGGAAATGATGTCCATATATATATATATATATATATATATATATATATCACGAAACAGATTAGATTGTTATTCGTATGAGATTATAGAGTGTTACTGAGACTGTATTGGCTGGTGCTATGTCGAACACACATAGGTTATTCTAGCTTCTAGAGATAGCAATTCATTAATTCTTCTCCAGGTGCAATTTGACATTGTCAATCATTCGCTTAATAACCCTGAATGCTTTTATATGATCGTATATGTGTTAATTACTCACCCTTTTCATTATGTGTCTGTAACCTATTTCATTTTACTTTAAATATCGAGTCACATTCGATAAGAGAAGTTTAACAATGTGAAATGTGAGATTGTTATCCCCTGAAACCAATTCAAAACTGTTTCATAATACCATGGATTGATTTAGATTAGGTTTATACGCCATTGAATGCTGACTCGTTGATCACGACATTAAGCGTTTGTTTGTAAGATCAAGTGTTCTGATTTCGATGCTCGGATGTGGGGTCGTGGATGAGCAATGTAGAGGAGCCTCGTACTAACCCGAAACGGCCTTCCAGTACCTTTAGGATTTCAAAACCTACTTAACCTAGATCGATTGGTTATCTCAACAAATTTCGACAGCATTAGAAAAACAATGTGGGAGGACTTATTCAAGCCAAATTAATACCCGTATTTTTAAAGAAATGAGAGTAAGTTATTCATAAAGATCCATTCTTCCAACCTTCATTTAACTGTAAAATGATATCCGGTGATATAATAAATGTTATGGTATGATGAAAAATGATTCAAACTATGGAAACTTTACTATGTTTCCGAAACCCTATGCGAATGGAAGTACAGATCTTAACAGTTCTCACCTACTTAGCAACTTGTTTTTACATAATGTTAGGGAATCATACATCGTCAACATTAGTGCCAGTTCATTTGAACTTAGTTTCCACCGTTGTGAAAATAAATCTCAAAAGAATCATCGTCATCTACTAAACGATGATTGTTCATGAGTCGTTGGAAGTCAGAATCTTTGAGATCTAAGATTTGTGACACGGGTGGTGATTAAAAATATCTCGAGTACTCAAAATTTCAAACAAACGTTTACCAACGTAAATAACAGATGACAGAAATTATTCGAAAACCGTCAAACTTGTCAACTATACTCAACCTACTCTATTGAGTTAAGTCTTACAAGAATAGTCAATAGGCAAGTGTCAGAGAAGTCTGATCGATCCGATAGCCAGTAAACAATGAATACTGCATTTGCGGTGCAACCGATATCCACAGTCGAATACAATTAATATTCGTATACAAATTACATTCTCATAATTTATTTGAATGTTTTGTTTATCTCAGTATTTCACCTAGTTATCTGATCTTTTCGTGATCTAGAGCACTTTGACTTTCGTGGAACTTATCACAGAGAATCGGTTACTCTTGCTTACTGCACTCATCGTTTCTTGGATAAGTTTCAAACTTTCACAGTTATTGTTGATCTATTTGAAATACACTGTTGGAGTATGGTGCTTTTCTAAACGGAAAACACTTCGTCAGGCTGGTGAATGGGCAGTTGTCACTGGTGCATCGTCAGGTATTGGTGAAGCGTATGCAGAAGAATTGGCCAAAGAAGGTCTCAATATCATGCTTATCAGTAATCATGAGAAACAATTGTCGTCCGTTGCTAAACGAATCGCAAATACCTACAATGTTCAAACACGAATTGTGGTTGCAGATTTCACTAAAGTAATATCCATTCTCAATGAATCTGTTAATCATATAATTTTAAATTATTGTCATTGACTTAAGTAATCAGTTCGATTTGTCACTCGGTAAAGTTTGAATATAGTTTGACAGGAGTTGTGTATCACTAATTGCCTTGTTCATAAATTGATAGATTGTTAGTCGAGTTATTACTGACACTTGAGTCATGTGGTCATGTCAAAATGATCATCAATGATAACATGCATTTGAATGTAGAAATGTGATTGAAAACATTCTTTTCACGAAAAGCATTTCTGTGATTCACGTGCATGAGATATATCAGTTTCATATCAAAAACATTTCATCAATATTCCACAACTGTTTAGTAAATCTCAAAAACACCATTAGATCGAGGCGAGTAAATGTATGTATGTATGCATCTGTGTGTGTGTGTGTGCGGTTCTACATTGCCATACAATCTTTCTAGTACTCTATTCATATTGGACTTACAAATGATTGTGAGGTTCTTTATTTGCAGTGTCAATGTTGTTCTGTTTTCTCCAGTCGATGAGGTGGAATGGTGATTAGTCATCGAATATCTATTTAGTTTCTAGTAGTAAGACGAAAAGAGAAAGACAATTGTGGTTGATATAGAATGAGAGAGAGATAGAGAGACAGTTGACGTGTCTGCAGTGATGATAAAATAATAATAACAATAATAATGTAATGGTTACGACATAATTTATCAAACACGGAGGTAGACAGTGGAAATTTCGCTGTCAATCTTGTCACCAGAGTTGTTAAAACGATTCTTCAATTTAATACCAAGGCATCCAAACACGATGCTACCAAACTCCCAAACATTGATTGGATTTCGGTCGTGAATATTGGAGACGGAAAAACGCAGACATTTATTATTAATATATGGTATACTAGTTGAACAGATATCAGGATATTTGATCTCACACCCTCAGCGTATATCGCGTTGGCCATTGACAAACAAGGTAGAGAACTGCTCTCAGATTCATCTACAATTCACAATTCAAACGCATCAGAATAAATTGACATTTTTGAAATTTGATCAAATATTCAAACACTTAAACACTTAGGAAACATTCGAATGATCAACTTCCACCAATCTTGTGTTCTCTTCTGTTTAGAATGATGTTTATGAAATAATAAGACCTGCTGTTGACCAACTGTCCACAATTGCTTGTTTAGTTAACAATGTTGGTATGGTGTTACCCTTCGAGTTGTTTGCTGGAGAAGTTGATTCACCGAATGAAGAATCAATTAGAAATATCATTCATTGTAACATTTTATCTACACTGATAATGACAAGCATCATTCTGCCGAAAATGTTAACACAGAAAGGACCTAATCCTGGTATCATAAACATTTCATCTTATACAGCTTTAAAAGTGACGCCCTACTTGACAATTTATCCTTCAACCAAAGCATTCATTATTCAATTCTCTAGATGTCTGGCTGCAGAAAAGTATAAAAAGAATGTGATTATACAAACGATGTATCCATTATTTGTATCTACAAATATGACCGATTTAAGAGAAGCCACATATTTCACACCATCTGCTAAAGTCTATGCTAAAAGTGCATTGGATATGTTCGGTGTTGAACAACAAACCACTGGTTATTTTCCACATGAGTTAAAAGCATTTGTATACAATTTGTTGCCAACATCATTGTGGGTAAAAATAATCGAACGTACGTTCACTCCAATCAGTAGACAATTGAAGAAGGTTGACTAACATGAATGTTGTTTTTCAACTTTCCTGAGAAACAGTAAAACCTAAAAATGAACATTTCAAAGCTTTTAATTATATCACAGTTTTATGAATTTATTTGAAATTAATGAGACGTAACTTTATCTGAGAAATCAGTCGTATTGATATAAAAGTTACATTATGGTAAACTAGTTTTCTTATGTTCAATGGTCAGTTACCTTTCAATCCATAGTTATCTTGGTCACAAATTCTTCTCAAAATTTCGTATCGAGTCATCTTATAATGAATGTTTCGACAATTACCATTTCAACGTCATTAGTCACGGTTTTACTAATTAAATCCCGTTTCCATATGACTAACCCTCAAAGATACAATAAAACTAGTGAAAATATCAGCATTTTTCTCGTATATCATCGTTCATTAATCGAGAAATAATTTTTCGTTTATTTCATTTAGTATTCTCGACTAGTTGTTATTTAGGCAGATACTTGTTGAGAATGGAAATAGTAGATGGCCTGACTGAATATTAATAACACTGAGTTACCAGGTTAAGTCTTTGATTCACTATTGCTTTAATAATTTGATTCGAGAGTAACTGTCTCGTCGCACAGTTACACCCACGCTGTGAGTTTTTTGGTCATTAAAACACGAAATCCAATTCTAAAAATGTCATATCATCTTCTCAAGATAAGGATTGGCCAACCTTAACACGACCGGAACACCGTACTTACCCACGTAAATGCAAAATATTTTCAGAAAGAGGGATGCCCAAATTTCACGATTACTCATGGATATCCGCATTACATAAGAACTGGTTTCAGTTTCAGTTTGGAAAGGAGAGGAAGCTCGATGACCTGTGTCAGTCCTGGCAATGATGGTTTCTCAGTTGATCTAACTTTCTTTTGAAAGAGTCGATGGATGGAGCCCCAACCACGTGCTGAGGTACTGAATTCCACTCGTTGATGACTCGACGGGAAAGTCGATAGTCAGCTGACAAGTAATTTGTCCTGGGCTTGTGAACTTTTTTGGAGTGTCCTCGCAAATTCTCTGTTTTGGAAGTCAAGAAAAATGAGGGCATATCAGATGCAAATTTATCACTAAGCAATTTGAAAATTGTAATCAAGTCGCTTCTAGTTCTTCGATATGACAACAGGAATAGGTTTAGCTTGACCAGTTTAGCATCATACGGGAGCTTCTCTATTCCGGGAATCAGCTTAGTTGCTGTTCTCTGAACCCTTTTCAAAAGCTTACTGTCTTTTTTGAGCAGGGGCTAGCCGCTTGTATGCAGTGCTCAAGTTTAGGACGTACAAACACTGTATACAAAGTCAGAAACGTTTTAGCGTTGACATAACTAAAAGCCTATAAAGTTCTAAAAACTTTGTTGGCTATTGCACGGGAGTGTACAGTAGTTTTTAAGTCTTCGCTAACGATGACTCCTAAGTCATTGTGTGTCTGGACAATAGGTATCTCAGTGTTATTCACTGTGTATGTATCTGTACCTTGATGACCGATGTGCACCACTATATACTTTGGAGTATTTATCGACAACTGCCAGGTTTGAGACCATTTAGATAATTTCTTCAGGTCACTTTGGAGTTTTAAGCTATCCCAGACAACCCAAAAAGAGGAAATAAAGACGAAGAAAGGGGAAATAAAGGGGTAAATGCTTTGGTAGCGAAAGGGGAAATAAAGGGAAAAACGCGCCAGAATGTCGCCTTTTTCGTCTGTCCGGGGGAAATAATGCGGATTTTCCCCTTTTTCTCCGTTTTGTCGACAAATTACCGACTTATCGCCTAAATATCCGCCGAATTGTCGCGCCTAAATTTCCGTGGAATTGCCTACTTATACGCTTAATTGTCTACTTTTCGCCTAAACACACACATAACCCCCTATTTTCCATCCACTGACAGAACCCCAAAGGTCTCCTATGTTCGCCTTTATTTTCAACAACAGACCAAAATATATCTGCAATGCAGTGGAAAAGCGGTACATTTTTGAAAAATTTTATTTAAAAGGAAAAGCGTATTATTGTACAACACTAGAGCAGAAGCTTAAGCATCTATTATTTTGCATATCCAATGCAATTGCTAATTCATTGTTATTTGAAATTATCTGAAAGAGAAGGAACAGGTGATGTTTTATTTATAAGGAATGTGCATATAACCGAAAGTTAACTGACACTCAAACACACATTCTCAACACTTCAACAGTTTCCCATGTAAGTAAAAGAGTAAGCTGTTTGAAAAAACAATGTTTATTGAAATCTAGGTAGAACATCAAAACAATTGCACGGACTATTCCCTTATGCCACGTTCGTTCGGCTATTGAGAATTGAGGTAGTCGTCCTGTGAATTCTGAATTTAAAAAAAGAAGAAGTCACAACCATATCTCAATGACATGCTTTGGCACAGCTAAATACTTGAAGCTGAACTTACGGTTATGTCCGTTATGATTCACCGTGTACCTAACAGAAGAACGAGCAGATGCGTCACATATAACAGCCGCCAACTGAATAGCTATGCACTTATTAAACTTGACACTGAAAAGACCCACGTCAGTAATTTCTTTTATTTCAGAAATTCGTTGAATTCTGCGGGTTTACTATTCCCTCCGTAGATCCCTATAATGAACACGTCACTAAGCCTAGGGGCAATGATCCGTCCTAGTATAGGCCATAACTGTTGATTGGAGCTTCTAGACATAGAAAGTCCATCTATATTGACATACAAATTTAAAGAGTCGAAATCAATAGTACACAACCAAAGCTCAACGTATCTAAGCAGATTGGTTTTCAATCCTAGATGGTAGTAAACCCCCAAGGGTGATATCACCCTTACTTCGTTTCGCTCTCCATATATTGTGGGGAATTTCAAAGCTCAAAAATCAGACTGCAACACAAGTACGTGTGTTAAGTTGCGGCTGTAGCTTCAAACTAATTAAGTTTGGGATGATGAATAAATGTCAAATTTAGTTAAGATACGTGCTACTGACCAGTTCAAACGGAAACAAAGTAATTGGGGAAATGACGGTTCCAGATGTCATTGTAAATATAGATGTACACACTGATTCGGTCGCCAGAATGGTTGGATTTTATTATAATGGTTAAGATCTCTTCAGGAACAATAGTCGCTCACACACATTCTACAAATTCGATTTTCCGCATGACCTTCGCACTCTGATTGGTTGTGATGGTTTTTAATTCGCCAAATTGTTGCGTGCTCGAAAGTCACATTCTGCTACCATAGTAACGACTTTTGTACCAATTTCGTTTGTGTTACTTGTTCTACCACAAATATCGAGTTACCCACAATTCTGTCCACTTTGTGTTTTGGTAGTCGAAGTTTGATGTGTTGGTTATAACTGGATGTTGTCAGTTCCGAAGAGAACCGATCATAATATGGAAGCTCAATGGTTTTCGTTCTTAAATTCGTAACATCCCAAGCTCCAAATTTCAGGGAAATGTTGGTGTTAATCCTCATAATATGTGTTGCGCAGTTTTCCGGATTAACATTTCATCACCATTGCATTATTAGACCTTTGAATATTAAATTACAATGAATAAATATGAATTTTAGTAAAATATTGAGCTTTAATCAAGAATACTCTACCGATTCTAAGCTTTTGTTTTAGCACGTCAAAAAGACACGAGACAATGAGTTGTCGGCTTTAAACCACTTTTTCTAAATTCTCACGCCATGCAGGTGGGTTATTTGTACTGTCCACAATTTCGATTAATGCTTTTGTTCAGTCTGGCTAAAGTGAATTATCTCTTTCAGAATAATAATTTACAGCTTGACAAGATCGCTAAAAGGCGGGCTAAAGCATCCAGAGACTTAAGGTTGATGAGCTGTCTCAAAGCAATTTTTCACAAAAGGCTGCGGAAGTTAAAAGCTGGGTTCGTCAATAAGTACCAGTTAACGACCAGTGACGATGGGAACGACAATTTATTTGTTGTCAGAGAAGTAGGGACCACAGCAGCTACAGAGAAGTGTAACATTATTGTCTCACAAACAGCCACTGCTTCATGTAGTGTTCATCTAGTACAGACAACGGTATAGTCTAGCTTTATTTATTAACAAGTTATAGATGGTGCAATTTCACAAATGTCTTCACCCTTTTACGTCCAGTAATATCGGTATATTCAAAGGTTTTACCTTAAGTCACAAGTGTAGGTGGATTGCACTGACAGATACTTTGCAAGTGTATTTGTATACCGACACAACATTATAGGGTTATTGTTCCCCTTTTACATACATACCGATAGAAAATGTGACATCATTTCTTGTAAGATCCAAACTAAGGTTTGGACTGAAGAATAGCTTTCTAGGTGGGTTAGACACGCGCCCGCGCCCGTTTGAAACCAGAACAAAGTAATTAGGTAAATGACGGTTCTAATATCCATCATAAAGTTAAACGTACATCGTTACCTAAACAAATATGACTGCCCAGCTATCCAACCAATATTTGTTCAATTAATCAAATCTAAATTGCAATAAATAAAGAAGTTAATAAAGGATGCAAGAAAATTACCAATCACAACAAATAAATTTTGTTCTATCCTGTCTGGATAGACCACGCACAGATTCGTTCAAAAGATAATAGTTGGTTGCTTTATAACACAGAGTGTTTTCGATTCTGGAAGAGTGCCTCAGTTCACAATCAAAAATGCGCAATTCCAGTCAATATAAGCAACGCAATCAAAAGGATGAACAAACCAAAATGGCTGCCGCCAAAACTAAGTACCAAGTAGAATAACATAAATGCAGTTCAGGACGAAACTTAGTGAAGGCGTAAGAAAAATAAAAACTATAATGAAATAGAAATATTAACAAGTCAAATGGAATCAAAAAGACTAACAAAATGTACAACTAAAGGAATCAGTGGGAAGAAACTGCAAGTGTATACATGGAGGGATTTTCACACACAAAAGATTCAAAATGGATCTTAATGTTCTCAAGGCCTGTCGCGAATATAATCTTTTATGCAGTAAGTATGTCTGTTGGTTAGTGATTTGGCGTCATCCA